TCTAATGTTATATATTCATCATATTAAATAAAAATAATTGTTAAAATAAATGTTATTTTTATCTATGATAGAAATGGAAAACAAAATTTAATAATAAAAATAATAATAATAACAACAACAACAATAATTGTTATTTGCTACAAGAATTTAAGTTTATTTTTAATCATATTGTTACTTTCATTAATTTTCAACTTTTATCTTAACTATGATATATCTAAAATTCAAGTCATTAATATGAAGAAAAATTTCTCACATGCAACACATGTGCTTAATTACTAGTATGGAAAAAAGACAAATCATAAGAGAGTCTTGATGCATGGATGTAGGGGTGTCAATGAACCGGTTTTGGATTGAACCCCGTTTAAACCACAATCAATTTGGACAGATTGGACAGACCAACAAGACATATTGAATTGGACCAATTCAGACTTAATGGTCTAAAGTATTTATCAAATTGGATTGGACCTAGCTCATCCATAATAAATTTATATTGGATTGGGTTGGATTGAGCCAATATTTGGTCCATTGATAGAAAATAAGAATATAGGTGTCAATGGACTAGGTTTGGGATAGAATTAATCTAAATTAAAATAAATTTGAACAAATTGGACAGTTCAGACATTAAATTAAACCAATCCAAAATTGTCCAAAATATTCATTGGATTGGATTGGACTAGGTCCATTTGTAATGGACTCACATTGGACTGGATCGGATTTGACCAAATATAGTCCAATTGACACCCTTTAGATGGATGGAAGAGAAATTGTTCCATATGAGAGACTAAGACAGTTGTTAGTCGTTACATGGAGAGTTTTTTTGGTAGGAGTTACATGGAGAGATTTGTCGGTATGAGCAAAATAGAAAATGGAAGGGAAATGGTAGAGATAGAGGTAGAGGATGAGAATTACAAAAAAAAAGAAAGAAGAAGAAATTGGAAAGAGAGCGTGACAGCCATTTGAAGAAAAAAATAATGGAAGAGAACACAATATCTAGCCATTTTAGAAACTGTGATAGTCGTTACATTGAGAGATTTTCAAGTGTTTGGCACCAATGCGTTTTACAAGAGTTTTATTTTTGTTGATGTGTCATATGCATCACATCAACAAATAAACAGAATTGACAAAGAAAAATCTCATTTGACAATCATGTTTCTTAGAAAAACGTTTTTATAATGATTAGCTTTGGGATTCAAGAAAGGAGGTGTTTCTTAAACATCAACTGACATTTCTTGAATCACCTTAGCGATCCTAAATCATCCTAATGACATGGCACATCTAAATTTGAAAAAGCTCACTATTTTTTTGAGATGTCACACAATTGTCATTATAAATATATTATAGTATTAAGTGAAATCACTTTAAACACCTAATCGTCTTAAATCCCAATTTTTTTGTGTTTCTTGAAAATATAGGTGAAATGAAAAATTTGTGAATTAGAGCCCACTTGTAAAACAAAACGCTTGTGAAACACACCAGTGGCACATCTAAAGAATGCAAGGGGAACACTGTGATGGCATCCATTGTTGAAAAGTCTTTACCATCCCTATTCACTAATGATATGGAATCGCTCATTACTAGGACATAAAAAGCAAATTTGATAACTATTAAAATATTTAACAAAAAAATTTATCAAAAGATAGTGTTTTGCGAAAAAAATAGTAGTTTTGTCTTTTGAACAAAATATAACCACATATGTAAAAAACAAGAAGAAAGAGGGCTATATGAAGTTTGTGGCAAAAGACCCTTAGCCTCTCTAGTAGGGATGGCAATGGGATAGGTTTAGGGAGGGTTTTGTAAATTCTAGGCCCTACCTGTCTGTCTAAACCTCTCAATTTGTGTCCACCCCAAAATTTGTAGCGGATTGGATTTTGAGAATCCAAATTCTTCCCACACATGAAAATGCAAAACCTCCTTACCCTCCCCACATTCGAGGATAAGGTGGGTTGGGTTTAGAACCTGCATCTAATTTTCTATTATTCCTTGTTATATTTAAAAAATAATTAAGTAAAATAACATGAACAAACAAAAATATTCCAATTACTTTATTAAGATATGTAAAAATACATAAGCTATCAATTATTCTTCACATGAAATTCAAAATATTATTCTTCACATAGTTCTAAAGGTGTCTAGGCAATTCAAGGTCATAGTGGGGGTGCCAAAGTCACCTAGGTGGGCGCTAAGTGATAAGATTTTTATAATACAAAGAACTATTTTTTGGTTAAATTCCCTAGTTTTATATACCATTCATTCAACAAGTATATTAATTGAAGAATGTTCACTTTATCAAGAACGTTAAATTTCCTCTAAAAATGTAACAAATCATTACATCTTTCTCATATATTAACTTCATTATTTTCAAAAGTCATATTATAAGTATTTAATATATTAATTTCATATCAATTAGTAGCAAGAGAAGGTTATTACCTTTATATGATAAAGATTCAATATGGAAAGTAAAATAGAAGAAACAATGATGGATTTCTTTTTTTTTTGTTTTATTTAATTGAAGAGAGAGAAAGAGAGAGAGTAGGCAAAAAATAGAGATGCCTATTTCCCCTATCCCTGACGGGTACATGACTTCCTCGACCCGATGGGGTCAGGGATGGGGATTGCTTTGGCAGGGCAGGACAGGGACGGAGACGGGGATTAATAGGGATCATCGACCAGGGTTGGGGTTGGGGATAGGGAATGAGGTCCCTGCCTCGCCTCAACCCTGATTATATATTAAATATTATTCATATTAAATATATATTATTATATATATGATATTATTTATATTGTTTATATATATATATCAAAATATATTTAAAATAGTATTTATATTTTAAAATTTTATTTATTTTAAGTAAAATCATTTTTTTAGAAAATATTATTAACTAAAAAATTTTGGGGATTTGGGTCCCTACGAGGAACCCGCCCTCATTGGGGATTGGGGATGGAGGACAATTTTTATCCTCGATAGGGATCGAGTCGGGGATAGGGAATATGACCCCCGCCTTGAACCTACCCCATTGCCATTCCTAGCAAAAAATAACATCTTTATACTTTTATTCTTTCTCTCCTTTCATAATTATACTATATATACATAAAATATTACTTTTTATTGGACTTGGACTTTAATCAAATCGGATGGGGTTAAATTCACATCCAATATGATTATTAATCAGATAAAAGTTCTAACATCCAAATCTACTTAGGATAATCAGATTTAGAGTTGAATTTTATATTAGATTTCGGAGTTTATTGACAATCCTATTGATAGGGCCCAAGTTAAGTAACCCCTAAGCTCACACTAGAAGTTGCATATATGGTAAATACTATTATATAGTATTTAGATAATAATTTTTATATTAATATTTAGATAATGTTTTATATATTTTTATAATAGACTGAAATTACATAAAATTTTTAATTTGCAACATAAACAAACTTGTCCCCGTCGCAATCCCAAACAAATATTATTATGCTTGGGTATGTGCCAGGCGGGGCTAGGCAGCCTTGAAAACTATTAATACACTATTAAAATTTGGCTCAAGATCTTTTTTCTTGGGTTCATTGGGCTACACAAAAAGGGGGTAGCTGATCCCATATACCTCCTTTAACTTCAATACTAATAATTTGTATCTAAAAATAGTTAAAACCCAAAATTAATGCATGTATTGGTTGTACTTAGTTTGGTCCATAATTGCGTGCGATCTGGAAGCTTCTAGCTGGAGGGCAGTTCGAACTTCGGTTGCTTAGCTGACTGGTCGAACAACAAGAAAGGGATGCTCAGAGTACCTGGGGTGGCTTACCCGGTGTGGGTGCTCTGATGCTTAAATTAGTACTTGGTAGTGCGAACTGAAAGCTTGTATATTTAGTAGGTTAGTAAGCAAATAATTGCGTGTACCTTATGTCGTTGAAATTGATGCCCTTAAATAGGTGAATTGTCGTATGTCTCACGAAATGCCTCCAAGATCTCCGGCCTGTGTTGTTAGGAATCTGCTTTGCACCAGGAGGAGGACTTCGTGCTAGCTGATAAGGTTTATTGAGTCTGTCCGATCCGGGCTGGATAGGGATAAGACCTACATTTGTTCGACGTGATCCTGGAGAGCTTGGAGACAGTTGGCCTTGCTTCTAGAAGATGGCTATGTGTCACATCGACAGGTTGGGCCGTCGCGAGCTGCTCGGACCTCGGTCCTGGCCAAGGTTCCCGAGGTACCCGAGGTGACTTGGCCTACTGAGGTGGTAGAAAGTGCCGAGTAAAGGTCCAATCAGCAGGTTGCTTCAATGTATCCATACATGAGTAGGTCGGGCCGAATCACCCCTCATTAGTTCAGTCCAATTATAAATATCACATTGTTCTTAAGGGTGCAACTTGTGTGGGTTGGGTCAGATTGAAGATCAACCAAAGCCCAACCCAAAGTCTTAAACCTCGAGCTTGGGCCTACATTAATTTAATTATGGCAAAAAAGTTAGTCTATAGAATTATGACTACAAACCTAATTTTGTATATTTAATAATATTTAAGTATTTTAAATATTTAAATGATATTTACAGAAATTTATACCATTTAGTAATTGACAGTAAAAAATAATTGTTTTATTAAGTAATTGACAGTAATTTATTATTTTTATTAAAAATCATTGATATAATTAATTCAAATTACTGAATTAATAAATTATTAAAGTAAAAACAAACTATTTTAAATAATATTGCATTTCTTCCAATAGTTATCGATTGTTGTTGTTTTACTTGAGAAATCCCGTAGATTGCACGGGTCCCGCTTAATATGAGTCGCGGTGCGGTTAAACCGTATTACACGTGAAGAGGAAAACTTTGAGGTCATTTGATAACCAAGAACGGAACAGGAACGCTTAGCTAGGTAGAAACGCGGCAAGGGGACACATGGTGGGACCCATGAAAAGACGCAGTAGAAAAGGTAGTGTGGGGAGAGAACTTTGCTCAGTTGGCTCTTAATTAAAGCGGAAGGAATCTGGTCTGGTCTGGTCTCTCTCCTCTCGCCTCGCGGTTCAACTTTGAACTTTGAACTTTGAAGCAAGCGGTGAAGCGGTGAAAGAAGGGAGACAGGGAGGGACTCGGAGTCGGATCGGACTATCCTCTACCTGGATATCGAATTATGGATGGAGCAGCGAGGGGAAATTCGAAATTCGGAGGAGCGTGTTACTGGTGTACACTGTACAGTACAGACTACAGAGAGAGAGAGATGAAATGAAGAAGGTGAGAGTCGCATACACCCTCCTCAGAGTCTTCACATTCACCCTCTCCAATATAATATAAAACTAATAAAATAAATAAAGGGATTGATTCGCGTATGGGACAGAGGACGGCTAATTGAAAGCTTTGATATGTTTTTGACCATTGATTGATCCATGCATCGTTGTCCAAATGCCCTTATTTTTATTTGTAATTAATCACACAACACCCATCTAGTCCTTTTTTTTTGCCCAGTTAGTGAAGAGTCTTGATCTAAGACAAATGGCAAGATTTTCTTTTTTTTTTTTATATTTTTGATTGATGGGTAAAACAAATGGCAAGTTATGAGGTCCAGATCGGTTACGAGTTTACGACAAACCTAAGCGAGTTTTTCTTTCTTTTTTGTCTAAAATAAACAAATAATTTTCTTTCTGTATATAATAGCGTGGTAGAGAGAGAAAAGGAAAGGAGAGGGGAGTGAAGTGAGTGTTGGATTTGGGCAGTGGGGTATGCTGTATTGAACGGAAAAACTTCTAAAGATCATCTGCGGCGACGGCGAGGGAGAGCGGAGGGATCGGAGGAGGTGAATAGAGGCGTCGGAGATAGAGACATAGAGATTGGAGGAGGAGGAGGGGGGGCGGAGGGGAGGGAGGCGGTGGCGAAGAATGAGACTCTGGGCTAGGTCAGGGAAACAACAGGAACAAGGTGGAGATGGGTAATTGCGGTACTAGAGAGGAATCAGCTGTTGTTGCTCATGCTCAAGGTACTCTCTCTCTCTCTTTCTCTCCGTCTCTATCTATATTTCTGAACTACCTCTCCAATTCATCTGTTTGCCTGCTGCTATTGGAGATTCTGATTTTTGTGTGCCTGTGGGGGGCTGAATTGCACTTCTGCTTGGTAGTTGCTATAGTAATATGAGATGCATTGCAATTGTCTTAACAATAGTAGCTTTAATTGAGTTGAGTTGGATCCATTTATGGTGGGAGGCGGGAACCCCCTAATCCCACCATGCATGTTACCAATTTTTTGTTTTCTCACTCTAACCCTTAATGCGCTTTCCTTGTTTTAATCTAACATATGATCAGAGATGATCGGGACTCCACTTTTATCATTGTATGTAAACAAATCTTTTCAGTAATTATCCTTTTTTTTGTGGGTTTAGGGTTTCCTGTGTTCTTACTTTTTTTTTTTTTTGGCTGAAGAGTTGAAAGTATGCCAGAGAAGGGGTTTCCTTTCGTATCTTCTTTTCACATTTTTTTTGGAAAATTTAAAATGTAGGTAGGTTGTTTCTTGAGAACATGGCATTTTGACAACATTTGGTAATCCCCACCGTTTCCTACGGATCATTCATGGCTACATGTACTAAACGTGAACTATAGAATTTATTTATTTACTTTTCTTTGGGTAGGTTTGTCAACTCCTTTCGCCTATTATTGCAATAATGTTTTGAATAACCGGTAAAAATCCTTATTTATATGCTTATTTTCCATTCCAATGATTTCATAAATTTAATCATCTTCTTATATTGGTTGAAACTTACATGTTCATGGGCTATTTCTAAATATGATGGTTTTATTTTCTGGATTGAATCGGGGTTTCTTATCTGATCTTTTCCTTTTTTTTCTTTAATATATGCAGTGCAGCAAGTACCTTTGCCTGCTAAGAACATTACTTCTGAGAAGAGGCATAATCGTTCCTTCTCAGACTTGAGTGATTCTTCTACCCCACGAAACATTGAGGACTTAAGAAAGAATGCCATGTTATATACCCATGTGATTGCCTTCACATTATTTGAACTTGAGACCATCACGAAGAGTTTCCGTTCAGATTACATCCTTGGTGAAGGTGGGTTTGGGACTGTGTACAAAGGATACATAGATGAGAATGTGAGAGTTGGCCTCAAATCTCTCCCAGTTGCTGTGAAGGTGCTTAACAAGGATGGCCATCAAGGCCATCGAGAATGGCTTGTAAGTTGATGATAGTGGTATCAATAACTTTATGTGATCATTATTATTATCTTTTAATTCTTTTTTTCACATATTGTTGCTTGATTGTCTCTTGTGTTTGATATTTCAGACAGAGGTTAATTTTCTAGGGCAGCTTAGACATCCAAATCTGGTCAAGCTGATCGGGTACTGTTGTGAGGATGATCATAGATTGCTTGTATATGAGTTCATGTTCAGGGGCAGCCTTGAGAACCACCTGTTTCGAAGTATTTTCTTATTCTTCTTCCCATTGGTTTGTATTTTCAATTATTATTAATCGTCATTGAAACATCGTGAAGTGGCTTGATAGCTTTGATCTTTTTTGTAGTATAATGAGAATTTATTGAACAAGGAAATAACAGAAAGAATGCTAAGAATGTGTAGAGAGGACGCCATTCAAAAGGAAAAAAAAAGCGAAAAAGCGCTTCCTTATAAGAGACTATACTAAATCTGCTTGTTCTCCCATACATTGTCATTTGCCATTTCTAATGCTTTCCAGAAAATATTCTAGAAAATATAAATCAGTCTTCATTACTCAAGCCATGTGCTTGCAATGAGAAAAAATAAAAGAAAAAGGAGAAGAAAAGAAGTCTTGATAACCCAAGCAACAACATTAGCCAATTCATAAGTATTGAGATCGGTATGTAAATTTCTAGAAGAAAAGAAGTTGTGACTTGCTAGGGAAATGAAAACTGAAGCAGAAGTACAAGATTTTACTACTTGTAATGGTTTAGTAAAGATAGACGTTGTTTTCAATATCCATCAATCTTGTAGCATGTTGTAACATTGCAATACAAATGGGGCTTCTATGTCTTATAAATAGAGTAGCCTTCTGCCTGCTACATTTCCTTCTAGTTCAATGATTAGTGAGTCAATAATGTAGCTTCCAAGCAGGTCAAAGATGCCATGTCCTTAGTTTCTTTAGATTGGTTTATACTTACACTAATAAAATGCTATGTGAACTTGATAAACCATGACAGAAAATCTTCAGTACCATGGTTTTTACGAACCATCTACTATGATCAAGTGCTAGCATTAGAAACATCTTCAATTTGTTTCAACATTTAGAAGGTACTCAAATTATGGTTGGCTCAATTTATGCATAGACTAAGTTCAAAAGAGAAAAATAATGCTTTACTGGCTATTATACCCATATATCCATATTGGTGCCATGTGTGCTGGATACTCCAATTTTAGTACAAGTTATTTGACAACTCCATCCATGCTCTTTCCATATTGACAATCATAGCTTATAGGCACAAAAGAAACGATCAAGGAATGAAATAATGAAAATATAAAAATAATAAATAATAAAAATTGCCCCATCTTGTTTGTATGTATGTACTAGTTGGGACCCATGGGATGCACAAGTTTTATTAAGTGAAATTGAAGCAAGAGCCCATGAAATTAAAGTAGAAGTTTAGATGAACATGGGTCAAGCTGGTACCGAGCCACCCAACTAATGGGTGGTTTAATTGGTATGGCCGCTAGCTTGTTCTAGCAGATTGGGATTGAATTCTACTACCACCTAGGGTTGTGGGGTTATGATATGGGGGATGGGGTGCCCGCATTAATGAACAAAAAAAAAAAAGATCTTGGGTTGGATTTTCATAGTGTATTAACAATTTTTAAAGCTTCCTGTGCTTGGCCTGACCTACATCCCAAGCTTGATAATATTTGTTTGGGCTAGCGGTGGACATGAGCTGAGCTTTTCACGAGCTATTGAAGCTTGGCTTATGAAAATCTCGATTCAGCTCAGTCTAAATTGAGCTTTGAGTCAAGATTGAGCCCAATGAAGCTCAACTCGTGAAACTTGTGAACATAATCAAGCTTATATTATACATAATAATGGTCTAGCTAAGCAAGGGGTGCAAAGAACTCAATTATATTGGGCTCAATTCTATAGCTGTGTTTCTCTTCTCTTTTCACAACCTCTTGTTGTACTGATGCCTAATTTTTATTAATGAAATCATTTCTGTGTTGCTGATCATATATATATATATAATATTTTTAAATTTTTATATGTATACTTTTTATTTTTTATATGTATAATATTTTACATGTCTAACTTTTTATTTTTCATATGAAGCTTGGCTCATCGTAAAGCTTGAGCCAAACCAAACTCAACATATGATCTTTTGAGTCTAGTCGAATTCGATCTCAAGTCTCTAGCTTGAGCTCGAGCCTCATGTTCTTTTATTTTTTTCCTAAGCTAAGCTTGAATAGCCAAATATTTGGCTCAACCCAGCTTGAACCCACCCCTAGTCTGAGTTTGGGACAGGGATAGGCTTGCCCATGTTTATAAAACTATGAATGTTTACAAATTGAAGTTCTTATTTAGTTTTAGTCAATTATAGGAAAACATATAAAAATTTGTTATCTTTTTTTTTCATCAGTAATTTGTTATCTTCATATTAATATATTCTACCATATATCTATATAAGATTTGTTATCTATATATTATTATATAATATTTACAATATATGTATATAACCTCCAAGTCAAGATTAGGGGTTGCTTTGCTTGGGCCTAGCCTGCATTATGTGTTTGCTTCGTGCAAATCCGAGCTAGTAGGCCTAGCCCAAAAGAAAATAGTTGCCTAAGCCCTAAAATGTGTAGGTCTAGCTAGCTTGGTCTAGGTCATAAATGATCATCCCTAAGGAAAGGAGCCTTGTGACATTTCTAATTGGGCCATTATTATTTTTTACTACTTTTATATGGAATGGAAATGGTTTGTTATCTAAATATTATATATGATATTTACCATATATGTATATAACTTCTAGGTCAAGCTTAGGGGTTGCTTAGCTCGCAGTATGTGTGGGCTTGGTGTGGATCTAAGTTGGGCCTACCAGAAGAAAAATAGTTGCTTGAGCCTAGAAATTTGTAGATCTAGCTATGCTGGTCTAGCTCATAAATGATCATCCCTAAGGAGGAGCCTTATGACATTTACAATTGAGAGATTATTATTTTTATTGTCTTTACATGGAATGCAAATGGTCTTGTTTTTATTACTTAATATTTTTTACTATTTATTATTAGTTTTAATTTTTCTATTAATATTAGTTATTTTAAATGGAATTCATATGTATTTTAATTTTTAATTTATAAACTACTAAGTTTATTAATTTCTTGATATTTATTAATTGTTAGATGAAGGCTTGCTAAAGTTTAATACTTTTTATTAATTTTAGTTATTGGATTTTAAATTATAACTTATGACAATAACCAATTAAATGGAATTTGAATATGAAAAAAATGGAATTTGAATGAGTAAATCTTTCTCTCTCTCTCTCTCTCTCCCCCTTTCTCTCCCTCTTGAGTCCTGACAAATGTCCGAAAGGATGATAACTCTTGGCATTCAAACTATTGGAATGCTAACAATTGGTGGGAAACACTTGTGATTGGTTGTTTTTGTAATATGACATGAAATAAAAAATAAAAAAAATAAAAAAGGAGAAAAAAGCACTTCCTCCCTTGTGTTGGCGTGTGTATAGATTTCTAGTTGGGACTATACGATGCATGGGCTTTGTTAAGTGAAATTGAAGTAAAGTGCCTCCTATGTCCGACCCAAGCATTATGTTTGGGTGATATAACTATTTATAATATTATTTATTAACTAAATTTTAAACTTTTGTTTGTTTGTGGGCTGGGTTGGGCTTGAAGTATTAGGCCCAAGCCCAATCTTGAAATTTGTGGGCTCAGGTCTGGGCCTGGGCTAGGCTGAAATGATGACCCCTAAGCAAAGGGTGTTTTGTTTATTATTCATTCAAAGAAAAAATAAAAATAAAAAAAGAAAAAATAGGCAATGAATTTTAAACAATTTAATAAAGTAATTGAGAGGAGAGAGAATTAGTGGAGTTATTGGAGAGAGAGTTAATGGCATGATTAATGAGGAGAGATAACTAGAGTTAATGAGAAAGAGAAGAGATAGTTAATGGTAAATTAATGAGGAGAGACTGATAAAAAAAAATTAATGAGGAGAGATGAAAGTCTTTAAGATAATTGGCTACTTAAGTTATTTTTTAAAATAAAGAAACCCAAGAAAACCAAAAAATAGAGAAGGGGTGGGGAGAAAGGAGAGGCCTGTAGATGTGGCAGGACCGGTTTTTATGTGTGTGCATATATTAAAGGCTGCATTAAATCAGTACACTGTTCCATTCTTATTAACGGAGTGGCCAAAGATTTCTTCCTGGCTAAGAGAGGTCTAAGATAAGGGGGTCCCATTTCTCCCTTCCTCTAGGGGTTGGAGGGTCAAAAGGGACCAATTCTATTTTGCGAGAACATTGAGTTGGAAATGGTGAGAAACCTAAAGTTGCCAATTGAGACCTTTGAGGGTATTTCTAGTTTGAGGATTAATTGGAACAAAAGCAGAATTGCTGGAATTAATGTGGAGGAAGAGGAGCTTTTGAGCTTTGTAGAGGTGTTGGGCTATGAGATTGGAAGTTGATCTGTTACTTACCTAGGCTTACCTTTGGGGGGGGGGACCCGAGGACAAAAGGATTCTGGAAGTCGGTGGTTGAAAGGTTTGCAAAATAAACTGGCCTCTTGAAAGAAAACTTATTTATCCTTAGGGGGAAGAATCACCTTGATTAGGGCCACACTAGCAAATCTACCCATTTACTTCCTTTCAACCTTTTGCATCCCGACAAGGATAGCAAGACAACTAGAGAAGTTCACAAGGGATTTCTTATGGGAACCAAGGGAGGATGCATCTGAGATAAGTTTCGAGGCACCTATTTACGACTTTCGATTGTCCATTTGTCTGAGGGTGGTAACTAGTGCTGTATAGTAGTTCAACCCCTTGGGCTTGAAAGTATGCTTCCTAGAATTTATTCATAAAGAGTGGGTCTCGGTCGGTCGAGATGGTCTGGGGGGTCCCATGTAACTTGGCCACCTCTTGAATAAAGAGCTTGGCTACCAAGGAGGCAGTATATGGGTGTTGTAAAGCCACAAAGTGGGCATACTTGCTCAATTTGTCAACAATCACTAAGATCACTGATTTTCCTCCAGACTTGGGCAACCCTGAAACAAAATTCATGGTGATGTCATCCCATACTTGGGCCAGAATGGGCAGAGGTTGTAGCAGTCCAGTTGGGTGCTATATTTCTGTTGCTGGCACACCTGACATTGCTGCACATACTCATAGACTTTTCTTTTCATACCCTTCCGGTAATAGTGTTGAGCCAACCTCCGGTAGGTTCGTAAAGCCCCTGAGTGGGCCAAG